CTCTTTCCTGCTTACGCAGGGGGTCGGACTCGATGATCTATTGAGGTCCCTTCTGACCCTAACATCTATGAATCTATGAATCTTTAAGGAGAGGCAGCATATTCTTAATAGCAGTAAAACAGTTTCATTTTCATAACTTTTTGATATACATCAGTGCTTCTCAACCTGGATGATGTTGTATCCTGGCAGAAAGACCATCTGGGGTGCTGTGGCAGGTGCTGCTACCGCAGCAGTGGAAACCAAATAAAACTTTTTGCACAGGGCTGCAGCATGTACAGGGTTCTTTGACAACCTTAAAACAGAGGCAGGCTGCATCCGGCCTGCCAGGCCATTCTATCTGACCCATGGGGCACCTACGAAGTTTAGAAAATTAATATTTATCTGTTCAGGGATCCCTGTCAAAGCTGACAGGAGTCCGGGACAGTAAGACCCAGGAAGAGCCAGCAGGAGTCAGGAGAAAGGCCAGCCAGGCCCCACCCCACCCCCAAATCCCTCTCACTCATGCCCCCCCACCAGGAAGTGTCTGCCTGCAGCAGCTTTCCCCGCACACAGGTGCTTCAGCACCACGTGGCCTTCAGCCACTACCACCGCTTTCACAAGAGCACAAAAGCTTTTTCCAGTAGTTATGTCAAAGCATCTCAGATACTGTGAAATTAAAGATGTGGTATACAATCAACCAGATGATATCTGAAACAAGGAAAAAAAACCCCCATACCTTTTCTTGCGAGGACTATACCGGATAGGCCTGAAATTGTAATTACACCAACTTTTGGAAGAAATTCTGGAGGTGGATTCTTCAGATAAACATATGTATCTTAAAAATTAAAACAGATAAGACATGTTAAGTGGAGATTATTTTTTCATTTTAACAAAGTTATATCGAGCCAAAGATGAATTTCAATATAATCCCTAGTCCTACAACTGGATCCTCACGAGTGAAGATGTCTATATTCCTGAGGATTCATTAACTTACTCTCTAGGGGTACGTCTACACGTTCATTATTAACGTGCCATAGTACTAAACCAAGTACTAAAACAACGCGCAGTAACTGGCACTACTACACAGTAGCATTGGCGCACAGGTTTTTACAGACACTAACTGCACAATAGCTTAATACTACTCTGCAGTAGCATACTAGCATGAGTTCTGCCTGGCACGCTACTGCGCAGTGTTATTAGGCTACTGCAGTTAGTGTCTCATGCAGATGCACCCAGGAACTGCACAGGAATCTGCACTGGCAGGATTAGGACTCTAATGTGAATCCAAAATATACAACGAAGTTCACAAATGGGGTCAGCAGATAATTTTGAATATGCTAACACTGATTTAATAAAAGCAAAGAAGAAAAAAACCCAGTAGTTTTTACTTTCAGATATGTAAAATGGAGATAGATGTATAGCATAGTTGTTTTCCCATACTAATTTTAGTTAATCTCTTATTTATCATGTTATTTTCCGATGGTCATTTCTGATATGCACTTCATTACTTTTAGCTGCAATGCCAGAATTAGCAAAAAACTGAACTGCTATTCAGAACTAGAACAATGATACAGGGATCAGAAATTCTTTTCTTTTATCAAACAGCTTGGTGTAGAGCTTTATGCATTCCTTTCTTTGGCTACCAGTTTATAGGTTGTACCAAGTTAAGGCTGGCTATGCACAACTCATGAGGGTGCAGACCCCTTCCTCCCGATACGCTCTACTCTTTGCTGACACAAGAACAAATTATGTAGCGCACAAAGCATGTGGACTACAGAGATCCTTTACAAGACTTTTTGCTCCATTCCTCCTTTCCATCCCTATCAGTAGCTCTTTGACTGCTCCATTTAAGAGAACCCACAGGAGGATGAATAAGAACCAAACTAACTGTAAATACTACCTAATTTTGTGAACAATGTTATGAGTTTCCTTTTTTGATTTTAAATAAAGGACTACAGTAAATCACACAAAACTATTAGGGTGGAATATGCATGGCAGACACCTTTTTATTATTTGTGGATTTTGTTTTGATGCAATAACCTTTTAATAAAATTTACTGTTCTTTAGTTTCAACCAGCTTTGTAATTCACATGGCCAAACGATGACTAGAAAGAGACATTTTTAAATGTCTCTTTAAGCCTTGCCTACCTTTGCCAAATTGGACTGAGTCCATTATGCCATTTTTAACGAAGACATAGGCATCCTACAAAAAAGAAAATTGAAAAACAATAAATGAACAGTATTTATCCGAGTTGAGATATTCAATGCTATATTGGTGCAATCATATTTTCTATTTGCACCACATGAGGATGCTGCTATACAAGCTTTGAAACATCATAAGCCACTTGAGGAATTGTTCAAGATAGAGCACATGGAAAAAGTTTGACAGAAAAAGTAATTCTGACTTTGCTATGAGTGTAAGCATAAATGTGTAGAAGCTAAATCCTGGTTTCACTGTCAGAGACAAAGCATGCAGTGATTTCAGTGTAATCAAGATTTGCCAGAAACACATTTTCTTTTTCACATATTTGAAAAAGCCAATTAATGTCAGGACAGATATAAAAACATAAAATCTTCATTTGCCAATTACTGAGACAACACTAGAGATGTCACAGTTTACATCTTTTTTTAATGATATAACATTTTAAATGTTACCAATAGATGCTACCAACCATATTTGTGAACTCCATAAAGGAGCTGAAAGAATCTATTTTGTCTCTCTGTTCTTTCACTTAGATTGCAGAGATACCGAATATGTCCATTAACTCCCCTTACTATGCTGAGACAAAGGTCATCATCCTCACATGTCCCTGAAATTCCACAGCAACTGTGATTTAATTAAGTAGTCAAACAAATACGGTGGAATAAAATCCAGGACACTGTTTCAAGCATTAATGTATAGTTCTTACCATGGTCCATTTAACATAGCGACTAGCTGCCTTTCTTAATGTAGAAAAGCCCATCTGCAAACGACCAGGTTGTTCTTCAATGTATTTAGATTTCAGAGGCGGTGCACAATAAATGGGAAGCTGGAAGGGCAGGAACAAACATATTGTACATAACTAGTTTCAGAAACATATAAATAAAGTTTTCAGATGAAAACAGCTTTTAAAAACATCTTTAAAGTAAAAAGAAAATCCTTCCCTCCCATTAGAAAACAAAGTTTTATATCTATGGACTTACTGAACAAAAGTAATTAATTATTTTAAAATCTGTTGAAGATGAGAAGCATTGTATATACATATAACTGGGCAGAGGTTTAGCAAACAAAACTAGGCTGAAATGTGTTTAGGGAGTCTCTGTTTAATGTTGATATTCTAGTTCTCTTTTAAGTTGTTTTGCTCTCTTGTTGATCTCCTGTTCTATAAGTTATTATGTTCTTCTAATGTAAACCATACTGAGCTTTTGTTGGGAAGAGCAGCATATAAACTGAATAAATATACAAATACTAAGAATTAATGTTATTGAACATAATTTACTTAAGACAAAAAGTTAATGCTGGTAGAGTCAGCTTTATATCATGGTAAACAGTGAGAGAGAGACAACATAAACCCTTAAACTATGGTAACTTCACCCAATCAAGTAGAGAATTGCCCCTGAAAGAATAAGGGAAGGACAGGGTTGAAAGGATGAAAAAATAATCTACTGTTATGTTATGCTGATTTAGATATTGTATGTGCTTCCATCCAGGGGTAGCCATTTGCTAAATACCAAGCAATACGATACAATAATGGTGCCTATGATCCTGTAAGAACTGCACATCTGCCTCTTGATCCTAATGTAAATCACACTGGTATATGTGGCTGTCTATCCTCATTCTTACACACACTTTTTACATTTTCTTTCTATAATTTAACACGTTTTGATTATTGGTAGTGCACATATAACAGCAGTGTAGTTACTCCAACATACAGTAATGTAAATAATCACTCTAGAGCAGGGGTGGGCAAAATGGCCAAACCAGCCAGCAGCTGGACTCCATTTCCCAGCTGCCCCTGCCCTCATGGCTTGGGCTGGTCTCCATGGAGACCCTAGCTGCTCCTGTGTGGGAAAGCTCAGGCTGGGGTTGCCATGGAGACTGGCCTCAACAGCAAGGGCAGCACAGGTGGTGGAAAAGTGCAGGGGGCTGCTCCGGAGCCTCTAGGAACTTACAATGGGGGCAGCTTGCTCTGGAGCCAGGGCAGAGCTGTGATCTGAAGCCTGCATGCTCCAGGCAGGGGCGTGCAAGCAGAGGATCACAGCTCTACCCCGGCTCCTTGCAGTGGTGACAGCCTGGTCTGGAGCTGGGGCAGAGCTGTGATCCCCTGCTTGCGCGCTCCAGCCCAGAGAGTGCAGGCTACAGATCGCGGCTCTGCCCTGGCTTTGGAGCAGCCCCCTGAACTGCTCTGCCACGCGTGCTGCTGAGGCTGGTCTCCATGGCAGCCCCTGCCTCCACTTTCCCATGCAGGTGCAGCTGGGGTCTCCATTGAGACCAACCCAAGCCATGAGGGCAGGGGTAGCTGGGAAATGAAGTCCATGGCTGACCAGATTCAGCCCATGAGCCGGACTTTGTCCATCGGTGCCCATCAGCAGTGCACAGGCACATCAACAGTGCACATCAAGTTCTTGAAGTGCTGGAGATGACATTACGGTATGGGGGGTGGTGTGACCGGATCAGGGCCCAGGAGTGGCCATGACGTCCCCTGATGGCCCCTTGACCCCCTACCTCATTCTGGCTTCTCAGGGTACCCTCACTTTCTACCTTACCTGCTATACCTTGATGTTATTCATAAGGTTTCAGGAGGCTGCCCCCAGGATCTCAGAGTGAACCCAATCTAGCTCCACCTTGTCCCTCAGACACTACACTATGGCCCTCCTGGCCCTATTAGTACCTCTGGACCAGTTGCCTTATGGGCTATTCATGGTCTCCTTCTGCCCCTGTAGCCACATCCATGCCTCACAGCTGTGACTAAGTTGTCTACTGGGCCCTGTCAAGGCTCTTTATACTTCAGTCAGCCTGCCAGGCCCTGGAAAGGCTCTCTCTTTTCCCTGGGCCTCTGGCCTTAGCCCTTCCTCAGGCTTTGGCATACTCTGGCCTCAGCCTTCTATTCTCTGGGCCGCTGGCCCCAACACAGCTACTGTAACTCTATGCTAGGTCTCAACCCGCTAGGTCCCTGAACCCAGGCCAAACTGTTCCCATTGGGCTTGGCTCTCCCAGCCTCAGTTCGCACCAGCCCACATCCCTCTGGGCCCCTGACCCCAGGCTAGGCTGCCTGACCCTAGCCTTAGCTCTCCCAGCCTTGGCTTAATGCATCACATCAGCTTCAGCCCTCTGGGTTCCTGAGTCTAGGCAAGGCTTGCTGATATTGAGTACCTCACCAGGCATCCCTCTGTGGCCTCCACACCTCTCCCATAGCCACAACCTGGCCCACAGTTTTCCTAGTAAGAACATAAATGCATGCAAAATGGCTGTACAACAAAAATTCTCCCCACACTGGGTAATTACTTCCCTGATGTCCTTAGCTCTTTCCTTGAAGCTTTCTGGGAAAGCTTGGGTGCCAGTCAGTCCATCTTCTGCAGTTATCTTGCTCAGGATCTCCTCTCCCTGCAGACTGCAGGCCTATTATGACTTCCTAGTCTCAGGCATTAGCCTTAAGTGCCTCCAGAGCCCCACCCCTTCCTGTCAAATGGCTCTCCAGCCACCCACAGGGGTTTCTGCTGTGGCCTGATGGCCAGCCTGCCCTTCCCTGTTGTGGCTTACTTCAGCTGCTTGCAGTTTTTTGCTTCTGGGCTGCCTAGATGTCTGCTCCCTTTCACTGCTTACTGCAGTGACTATCTTAGGATATTTTAGGATAGTCACTCTTGAAGTGGTAGCTTCTATCCCTGCTGTCACTGGATTGTTTGCTTCCCAGCAGCTAGCTTTTGCTCAGCTGCCAGTCCCATCCAGCAAGCTTGGCCTGCCACTATCCTTAAAGTTACAGGAGCCTCTGGCTCCCTGTTACAGGTGGAGAAGCCAACTTGCACGGAAACTCTTCTTGATATGCTTCTTGCAAACAGGGAGGAATGGTAGAGAATGTCAAAGTGGAATGCAACTTGGAAGTCACTGACCATGAAATGACTGCTTTCAAGATCTTAAGAAAAGGGAGAAGGGAGAGTAGCAGTATAAAGACATTAGACTTTAGAGAACAGGTGGGTAGGATTTCCAGGGAGACAAGTCTGAGAGAGAAAGGAGTCCTGGAGTAAGCTATCATGATTCAAGGAAAAGTTAAAAAGTACAGCAGGAGACTATCCTGGCTAAACAGTGAACTCTTCAATGAACTGAACATCAAAAAGGAATCCTACAAAAAGTGGAAACTTGGCCATATTACTAGGACATAGTACAGAAGTATCACATGGGTATTCAGACAGAAAATCAGGAAGGTCCAAAGCATGATTTGCAACTAACAAGGAACATTAAAAAGGTTCTACAAGCAAGTCAGAAGTAAAAATGTGACAAGGAAAGTGTAGGTCCTTTACTGAATGCAGAGGGCGATGTAGTAATGGATGAGGAGAAGGCTAAGGTATTTAATGTTCTTTTTATTTGGTCTTTATGAATAAGGTCAACTATTAGTTGACACGTGCAGTTTGCAAGGAGGCAAGCAGCCTGAAGTAATGGAAGAATAGGTTAAGAATTTCCATGGGAAGCTGGATGCTTTCAAGTCAGCTGGGCTGGATGGGACGCATCCAAAAGTACTGAACAAATTGGTTGAGATAATTTCAAAATCATCTGTTTATCATCTTTAAGCTCTCATAGAAGTCAGGAGAATCTATGAATCTATGAGAGGTCCCAAATGACTAGAAAAGGACAAATATTGTACCAATCTTTAAGAAAGGGAAGGACTACCTGAAGAATTATGGAATAGTCAGTCTGCCTTCAGTACCTGGAAAGATCATAGAGCAGATTATCAAGGAATCTATTTCTCAGCCCCTGGAGGAGAAAAAATGTGATCAGGAACAACCTACATGGATTCAAGAGCAAGTCATGCCTGACTAACCTGATTTCCTTCCATGATAAACTGATGGGTTCTGGATAGTGGGGACGGGAGTAGTTGATGTGATACCTTGGCTTTGTCAAGATTTTTTACGCTGTCTGCCATGACATTCTTATTAGAGAGCTAAAGAAACAGAGACTGAATGAAGGTACTCTAAAGTGGATATATAACTTGTTGGACCATCATGCTCAATCAGCAGTTATCAATGGATCGATGCCTAGTTTGGAAGAGGTATTAAGTGGGGTTCCCCAGAGGTTTATCCTGGGTTCAATATTGTTTAATACCTTAATTAATGATTTGAAGTTTGGGATTGAGTATACACTTGGAAAATTTGCAGAGGGCACCAGTTGCAGACTCTCTGGAGGGTAGGGTTAAGATTTAGAATGACCCTGATGAACTGGAGAAATGATGTGAAGTCAAATGAATAAAATTCAATAAGGATAAGTGCAAAGTCCTGCCTTTCAGGTGAACAATTGCATACACAAATACAGACTGAGGAATGACTGGCTAGGATGTGGTACTGCAGAAAAAGATCTGGGGATTACAGAGAACCATCAACTGATATGAGCTAACTGCTCTTGTTGCAAAAGGCCAATAGTATACTGAACTACAATACCAGAAGTGTCTCTTGCAAATCAAGGGATGTGATTCTTCCACTCTATTCTGCACTGGTGAGGCATGGTGTGGAGTACTGGGTCTAGTTTTGGGCCCTTTGTTTCATGAAAGATGTGGACAAATTGGAAAGAGTCCAGTGAACAGCAGCAAGAACAATTAGAGGTCTGGGAAACATGACTCATAAGTCAATTTTGGAAGAGCTGAGATTATTTAGCCTGGAGAACAGAAGACTAAGGGGGAATTTGATAACAGCATTCAAATGTCTAAAGGGAGATTATAGAGAGGATGAAGATGCACTTTTGTCTGTGGCTGTGACTAGGAGCAATGGCCTCAAGCTGTAGCAGAATAAAATTTACATTAGACTTTCAGAGAACCTTTCCGACTCTAGGGTGGTCAAACATTAGAAAAGTCTTCCTAGAAAAGTTGTGAAATGCCCATTGTTGGAAATTTTCAAGAACAGGTTGGACACACTTAGCTGGGATGGTTTAGTTAGGAATGATTCTGCCTTGAACAGGGGCCTGGACTAGATAACCTTGTGAAATCTCTTCCAGGCCTACTTTTGTATAACTCCGTATCACTCTTAGTTAAACAATTTTGTTTGCTGTGTAACATCATTCAAAGGGAAGCCTTGGTAGTTTTCAAATACTTTTAGTTATTGTTTAAAAAAAAAAAAAAAGCAGCAGCAACAAGAATCTCACCTGATTTGGCTTTATTGGGTGGGTTTTTGATCCTTCTTCTGTTGCAGCATATACACTAATAGATGTACATGCCAGAGCACAAGGGACAGCGACCAGCTTGGCCATCTAGGACAGAGAAAGATAAAAAAAGCAGCTTTAAATGATATTTGAGAAATCATATTTTCTCCTCTTCATTAACATCCAGTAGTAATTTCTGTGCGTCTGATCAATCTGACATACTTAATCTGTTATTTGATTATTTAATTGAAATTGGTTTAAAAATGTACCTTTTAAAATCCTCTTTTGTAATATACAACATTTTAGAAGAAACAACAGAAGTTTTTTAAACAAAAAATACTCAGGTATGCAAACAGAGAGGTCCACAACCTGAAAAGTACAGTCTAGTGTACAAGTACAGCCCAACTACTTTTTAAAGCAATATTTTATTATTCAGAATTAATTTTGAAAGTACTCTAAAAGTACAGTAGTATATCAGCTAATTCAGTCTCAGAGAGCAGTAAAAGTTGTTTCTCACTGTTACTATCATTGCCAGTACCACAATACCGTGGCTGGATATTTTTGTCCGCACTCATTTTAGTTAATACAATGAAATCTTGACTGAACAATACTGTCATACATTGCTTATGAAGTATTATTACATCTATTGCCCAGTCACAGACTTCAATCCCACTGTGCTAAGTCCTGTATAAACACAAAATGAGACAATAGGTCCTAGTGGGAGGGTGTGTATTCCTCACAACTACTAAAGCCCCCTATTTTAAGGATAACTGGTAGAATTCCACAACATTTATGCTATTTCTCAGATCTTTTGAAATTGTGTAGTAAAACTCAAAATTACCATATACAGTAAAATCCCCATTATCTGACATGAGTGGGGAATGCTGGGTGCCAGTTATGTAAAAATTCCAGTTCTCTGAGGCAGATAACACAGAGTGGAGGGGGAGGGGGTAGTGGCAACCACATGCAGAACAGCGGCAGCGCAGGGTGGTGGGGGCAATGGCCAACGCATGCAAGCTTCTCCCCACCTCCCCGGGTCCGGCTGGAAATACTGGTTCAATAGAATATTCTGGCTTGCAGAATGCCGGATAAGAGGGATTTTACTGTATATCCAAAAAAACTTATCTAAAGAGTAAACTGTGTTTTCTTTTCTAGGTTCTACCCCAGAATGACACTCATTATTTGCTATGTGACCATGGGTATTTCCTATGTGATCACCTGGTCGAGACAGACCTGTCAGGCCTGGTTTTAGGAAATGCTGAGCACCCACAACTCCAATCTAAGTCAGTGGGAATAACAAGTGGTCAGTAAGTCAGGTCTGAGGTATCTCAGGGTCTGAACAAACTATCAGAACACAGTGAATATGCAGGGGATATGGATTTTCTGTGGAGCAACAATAAAGTACTATATTAGAGATAAAGGATGTACACAGTGCATATCTTAGGGCCATTCCACTGATTCTTACTGTTCTTCAGTTGACATTTCATTTGATTTCAGGAGACTGTCATACTGTACCTGACTCTGTCCATATACATTTTTTGGGGGAAAAAACCAGCAGATTTAAAAGAGAAAAGAATCAAACCATGACTCTGGAACTCTTAAAATGCTGAACATTTTTTTAATACTAAAACTACACTATATTTTCTCTGACCTCATAATCTGAAACCAATATAGAACTATCAAACCTGGAAAATGTCAGCACAAATGGTTTAAGTTTGGTACAGTTATAGGCAAACAGAAAAGGGACTTCTAACAGGAAACATTAAAATAAAATTAAGTTTAAGACCCCCAACAAACTTTATAGATAAACTTATATAAATAACAGCTCCCTAAGACAGCATTCTCAAACCATATGTCAGTAAATAAGCAAACAACAGATATAGTATGACTTTAAAGATTGTAAACTGGGCTTGTGGTTACATCTGTAGACTAAGAGTCTGTTTTATTATAATCTGGAGTAACTGAAAGATACCCTCTCAGTTTACATGTAAAATAAAGTTTGTTTCTGTAACTGCCAGATTTACTAATTCTACCAAGATCAAAAAAGCTATGTTGGTTCATTCAAAAAATTTCCAGATATTCTTCAGATAAAACAAAAATAAAAAAACCCGAAGTTGTGTTAAATCTGCTAGACTAAAGGCGTGTCTACAGGAGACACGTTAATGTGCATTAGCTTAATTTAATGCACATTATGGACACATGTCTACACATGCATGCTCTTAATGCGTATTAAAATGGTGAAATTAGGCTAATCGCGCCTCAATTTGATACCTGCAAATTTGATACCCAGCTACTGCTACCCCCAATGCTTTGGCTGCAAATGCAGGTCGCAAATTTAGGTGTGATTAGTTAAAGCGCATTAATGCATGTGTAGACACCAGTAGGGGTACATGGCAGGGCTTCAGGGACTTGGTATTAACTTTAGTCCCAAGTCTCTGTATGTGCAGACACCTGGCAAAAATTGCTTAATGTGCATTAAATTGACATTATCGGCAATCAGCTTCTTTTGGCTGATTATACTGCTAATAAACGCTGCGTGCATGTGTACAGCTGCAGCATGCATGGGGCCAAGAATACAGCCTGGTATTCTTGGAGAGCAGCCTGGTATTCTTGGAGAGCAGCACCTGGATGGTAAGTCTGTGGTGGGGAAGGGACGGGGGAGAGAAGGGGCATGGGGAGAGCAGATCAAGGCCCCCATGGTGAGGGAGGGAATGGGGCTGGGGCAGGTGCTGCTCAGCCAGGGTGGGATGCAGAGTGAAGTCATGAGCAGCTTGTCTGACGGCTGCAGGGGAGAGGTATGGGGGGCACATGCCCCCCTGATCTGTGTATGGGGCAAGGGTGGGCTGCCTGCTGTGAGCTCAGGCCAGGTGCTGTGCTCGGGCTGGGCAGTGATGGCGCTGTGAGGGAGGACTATGGGGGAGCTATGGTGAATTTTGGGGTGGTTGTAGCCCTCCCCAGTAGCCCTGTCCCAGTGCCACCACTGCCCGCCCCACCCCTGCACACCCTGAGCACAGATCTGGGGGGCACATGCCCCCCCATGCCTCACCTCACCTGGGGTATGTGCAGTGGCAGAAGCCACCCTCCTCTCCTGGATCAGCAGCACCACACCCAGCCAGGCCATGCCTGCCACAGCCACAGCCACAGGCCCTCCCTTACCATGGGGGCCTCGATCTACTCCTCCCACTCTTCTTCCCTCCCCCACACCCCTTCTTCCCAACAGACTTACCAGCCAGATGCTGCTCTCCGATGCATATTGCCAATCTGACCGGTGTTGGCCAATATGGCTGGTCAATAATCAACATAGGTATTGGTCCAAAAAAGCTTAATTGGTGCACCTCTAATTACTTTTCTTTGAGAAATGAACACGACTTTCATGATAGTGTCTCAAGGTATCAGCAATAATTTACTCCTAGAAGACAGGTTTAAAAAACTGTGTAGTCTACAACTCCATAGGTTATTAAGTGCCCATCAATGGTTTCCTGCTTAAAAGAACTGATCCAGTGAAGTAATCCAGCGGAACAAGACTTTTGGGATAATTCCTGAAAAGATAAGAGAATGTTCCCACTACCCTTTAAAGATCATAGAAGTATTCTTGCTACATACTGTTCAATTATGTCAAAGCAATGTCATGGTTATAACATTAAGCTCAAGACAGACATGATTTTAGCATTAAAATTTGTCAGTTGTTTCTGATATGCAACAAGATTACTGCAAATTATGTTTAATCAGAAGTCATGTAATTAGTTCTTTATAGGAGTTTGCATACTCCAGTGTTCTTTGGTTAGTTACCCTACAAATGACAGAAAATCAAATGATAAGCATATTTTCTCTGAAAACCATAGTGAAGAATAAATTAAGTCTCACCCCCCTTCCCTGCACACTACACCAGGCACCCCACCTCACCCTCAGCTCCCTAGTTGTGGGCTTTCCTGCTGCACCATGCTCTTAGCACTGCAGGGTGGGCCATGCTGCATCAGTGCAATCCCTGTGATGGCACCAGGAGGGAGAAGGAACCTGAAGACCCTGGCTGCTCTTGCAGTCAGAGCATTGGGGGTAGCAGTAGCTGGGTGGGAGCCCAGGGGCCACAGTTTAACCCCTTACAGGCTGCCAGTTGGACAGCCCTGGTCCAAAATATCAAAATCAGGTTAACCAGACTGTTATTTTACCAGGTCCTCCTTTTTCCACTTTTTAATACTCATAACTTCTCTAACCCTCTAGAACCTCAATTAGTACCATAAGTTTGTAAATAATACTACTAGTGGCTTTAAGAATTTCTTCAGCTAATCATTTCAGGACCCTGAGGTAAAATCCATTAGGCCCTACTGGTTTGAAGTCTTTTAAATTGTTCAGAAGTTCTTAGATGCACTGTTAATTCATTATTTGTATCCTTTCCCCCTATTTCTTTATATTACTTTTTCTAGTTTCATGGCAGTGTATTTTTCTGTGAAGAATGAAGCAAAGAAGTCAATATAACAAGAGCAAACAGCTAAACAGTGAGGTAACAGAAAGAGGTGAACTCACTTATTGTTTTGGAAGAAGGCAAAGAGGCCTAGCTGGATCAGGCAGGCACAAAGAAAAGAAGAATGCTAACGTTAGAGCTGTATAGCAAGCAGAGAAGGCAAGCAGATAAAAAATTACAAAGCTGAAAGAAGGTGTAGGGTCAAGGGAAGTTCAGACGGTCAGAAACACAACTGACAAGTACTTACTAGGACAGAAAAAGAGTGAAGGTGATTTAGCATTTGTCTGCAATGGGAGACCTCTGAGGGGGCGACAAACATAACACTTGAACAGTTTCAAGAATGTCACTGATTGGGAACTGGTTCACAACTGTCGCGGTTTAGAGGTGTCCATACACACACCGCCAAGGGTCCTAAATAGGAGCCACTTTTCAGATATTGCAGTGTTGTCAAACTATCACCAGGGGGTGAAAGTGAATATCCAGCTTAGCATGCCTTAGTAGCAAGTGCCCCAGTTTCCCCAATATTTCCTGAGCAGAGAAGGAAGACTGTATGAATGGCCCACAATTGCAATTCACTGATCCTCCTTCTCACTAACACCGAGTTCAGTAAAGACCATTCCCTGCGCTGTACCAAAATCTTCATGGTGGTACCCTGACTAGAGGTGCCTAGATATGTGCGTGGAAGGGTTGGGGGGGGGGGCGAGGAGGAGGGAGAGAGAGGAGAAGCTGCCTAGACCCCTGCTTCTGGTTCCTGAGAGCTGGGTGCTCTGGATTGTCAGCGCTTCTGTGGCTTGCAAAGAGCACTTTCTTACAGGCCACTCATCAATTTTCTTCAATTTGTGGTAATGTACCACAGGCTGTTTAGGAGCTGAAGGGTTGACCAGATAGTTGGGGAGGGGCAGGTCTACCTGGACCTCTGCTTCTCCCTTCCTGGGGGGAAGGGTACTCCAGAGTGCTGCTCAAGGTCTCTGGCTCAGCCTACTGCCTTAAGAAACGTTACCTCCAGGTGGTCAGGTGGGAAAGTGCCTAGACCCCTGCTTGTGGGTTCCTAGGGAGCTGGGTATTCTGAGGACTCCCCAAAGTCTCTGTTTTTAAACACATTTCCCCCCAAGCTGCTTATCGGTTTCATTGCATTTGTGGCAACTGACCAGGCTTTGGGGCATCCCAGGCTGATTTGGGGTGGGGGAGGAGGGTTGGCCAGGTGCTTCAGGGTTCCTGGGTGCACTGCTGAAGGTCTCCATGTAAGTTGCCAGCATTGGAAGCATTTGACCAGTGGCTTGGGAAAAGTGTTGCTTAAAAATTGCAGAGATCTTGGATGGCTCCCTGCAGAAACAGGGGCAGATATGTGGGTTTTCCAGAACATTTTGAATTGGAAAAATTTCCAAAGCCCTAAATAGAGCACAATCTGATATAACATGCTTATTTGACTTATATTTAGTAAACAAAACTAAAAAAGTACCCCCACGTTAATTTTATGTCCCAATAGTAACAAGTATTTGAACTGAAATGTTTGATTAGGAAAAAAAAATTAAATACAGCACACTTAATGTGGTTTAAATATTACATTCAAACAGATTCAAAGCTTTATGTGGAGGTGTTCAGTCCAGTCACAGCCCCCCTTTTAACTCCCTGGATCAGGAGACCAGTGAATTTCCTCCTGGTATAAGATTCTGGGGCTCTGCCACCCCTGACACCCCAGCCTTATGCCACCTTGATGTTTAACGTCTTGTCTGATAAATTGCTTGTCTAAGCCATCACAATCCTGTTTTCTTCAGACCACTCCCCTGTCTGTCACACTTTACTGGACAGCCTCCCTTCTTCACGTCAAGTACCCCAGATTTGTGACTACTGCATCTCAGCCTCATCTAAACTGCACATGGCTTTATCAATATTACACATTCCCATTGAATCTTAAAGTGTAACAAACTATAATCTAACTCATAACTTACCAGATGCACCTGTGCCACCGTATCTAGCTGAGTGCTAGGGGCAATGTAAAGTGCTAGGTACTGAAACCTAAAGAACTAGGCAGGCAAGGGTTAATTCCTATCTGGTTTGTTGTTTTTTTTAGCTAGAAGCGCCTGTGCCCTGAAGCCCACTTACCACTTCTTTGCTACTTGGTTTCAGATATCCTGTTTACCTTCTGGTAACAAGCTTTAGGAAGCAGATTCTTGCTCCTGTACTAACTCTGTACACTGCCTCCTGCTCCAGAACACTCTCATTTAATCCATGGGGCCACGGGGAGGTTTCTGCTCTGCCTCCCCCTGGGCTCTGTACCAATCCCTGCATCCATCCACTACAACCAGATCGACCAAACCTGATCCCTTCATCTTTCTCTTGCCCTCCTTGAACTGCTGTTCTTGCCCCTTTTAACTGCTGAGCCTGCCCATGTGCAGGTGAGCTGCTTCTTGAAAAGGGGGCGAGGTGTCATGTCCTTTCTGGCTCCAGCTGCTCACCTGGCTGCTCCAGTGCCCCTCTGGCAAGGTAAGCTTGTCTTTTAACCCCTTTTTGTCCTCACCCCTCTCACAACACTGAACAAGTTAAAGGACCATTTCAAAATAACACCTGATTATCCAGGCATACTTTTGAAACGTTCCAGGAGCTTTACAACATTCTAAATAGGCTTGAACATCTGGACACTTGCAGTTTAAATAGCATTTAAAACAGTCTAAGCATGACGTCTATCTGGAACTCTGCTGGAACAGTTATATACAGGGACCTACTGTGTCTGTAATTGCACAATTTCTGCAGAAACTGCAGATTTTGGCCGGCTCCGCAAAAAATGGTGGGCTTTTTAAAACACAGCAGAGTCATTGCAAAACAAAACTAAACCAAACCCATGAACAAAAAAAAAATACTTCACTGAAATTTAATGCTGGCTCCCCAGCCTGCATAGTCCCCTGGGGGAGCCAGCAGTCCTTGTGGTAGGCAGCAAACCAGGTGGGAAGGAGGGAGGGGGGCTCCTGGCAAGAAGGACTGCTGGCAAGATGGCTGCCTGTCATGAGGCCCCACCCTTTTCCACCAATTGGTACCGAAGGGCAAGGGTGCGTGACGGACAGCCCTGACAACAAATCAGTGGCAAGGAGCAGGGCCACGTGACAGACAGCCCTTGCAACTATCAGCAGTGACGGATGGGACCTCTGAGACCCCTCAGCTAGAAGCATGGGGGGACCCTACTGCCCACAGCCTGAGATAATGGCAGCTGGCCTTGGGATTTGCCCAAGAAAATCAGCCAGCCGCCTCCTCAAGTTAGGTAGACCCCTAGTTATATAGCACTGCACCCTAGTGGAGACACAGCATACGCTGACATGTTTTCCTGCCAGAAAGGCCACACCACTTTTCTGAAATTAAACTGACAAAGCACTCTTACCAGCATAGCTGTATCTAAAACACAGGGTTTGCTAGCAGCTAAAAGGAGTGACTTATTTCACACTCTTAGCTGACGTAATTATAGTGACAAAACTTTTTAGTCAAGCCCTGGCTTGAACAGAAGACTGATAGGGCCTTACTCATATTTAGAGACTAAAGTCAAGTCTATATTACACAAGCATTGCAAGTTTATCTGAGTCAGGGAGGAGCACAAAATAAACCACACAGCCTAACTGACTCAGGTACACTGGCAAAACTGTAGTTTGTACAACATCCAATACAGTTGTGCTGACAGCAGGATGCTTACCCTTGGCTTAATATGTCATTTAGGAAGATGATGCAACCCCAACAGAAAAAAACACTATGGCATATTCTCAGCATTAGCTATGTCAGGAGAGCCCTTAGTGATGCTGGAATAGCTAAAGCCATAGAGGCCCTTCTAAAGCACAGACAAACCCTAAAGGTTTAGGGAGAACAGAAACAGGATGACAATAATCAAACCAATTAACACATGAATAATTGCCTTTGTGATAATATGACCTAGAATAAAATACCACGGTCAGGGCTAGTGAAGATGTCACTCAGAAAGACACTTATCTCTTGGGGAACAGAGTACACAAACTTTTATTCTGCTATTTGAATATATTCTGTTAAAACAAATTTTCTTTATAATTACATGTTAATAAATTGTAATTGCTTAAAATCATTCTTCTTTACCTATGAAGCCTTCTCAGAATTAATCCTCATTGTCACTCTAATCCAGGACACAATACTGCAAACAACTATACCTGGTTTCAATACAACGAAGGAGACCAAAGTTGTAACATTATAAACGAGAAGACAAACCAGGCTTTCCAAAGGAAAAACACAAGATATTTTTTGCTTGTTTTAATGCACATACCATATTTACTGTGGTAAATTAAAGCAGCCAGAGAGCTGTATTGTGGTAAATTATAAAAAAGAAAAAGAAAAGGAGGTGTTTTATTAATGCTGAAAATAGTTCAACTTCAGAATAGCACTGATTAGACACTTACTCAAGACAACTGCATGATTATGCTAGTGGGAGCATCTCTACTGTCCAGTAATTGTTTTAATGCAATTATTTTTTTTTAAAAAGGCTTACTTTTCCCTATTAAAATGACAAAAGCTCTACCAGACAAAACAAAGAAAATCAATATCCTAATTTGTGCAACATCCAATCAACTTTGCCAGGTTCACAGGTTAGTATGTTCCTTCCTCAGACTAATAATTAGGTATAATGAAGTAAAATACAATTACTGAGAATGCCAAGGTCCAGAACACATTGAACAAAACAAAACAAGGTTAAGCAGAAAAAGAGTAAGATCACCTAATGAGCATTAGAAATGTAATATTATGTGGGTCAAGTCAAAGCCTTCTTGTTTCTTTAGAATTTCAAATAGTCTATAAGAAGATACTAAGGACCAAAGAAGAACATGATCATGAAGTCTTAACAAATCTGCAAGAGATGATGAAAGCAGTATAGTGAAAAACTTCTGTAAAAAGCTCATGGCCATATAAATCAATCTGTAATTTCATGACTAACTAGTAAAGTGACTTCAGAACAGCAATGAATCATCTGTCTAATCTGAAGTAAAAATCTCATATGCTATTGCAAAGAACTAGTAAAAACTCTTAATAAATGCTCATTTAAACTCTTTTATATTAAAAGATTTCCTTTAAACTGAAATTGTACAATGCATGTTCGGCTACCCAATACATGCACTATATTTTTATACGGGTTCTTTTTCCTCTTGTGGTTTTCTTTTTTATCCTTAGTAAAGGGACCCTTAAGAAGGATCCAACCCAAACTAAAGTCCATTAATATATTTCCTCTAGCTTTCAGACTCATAGATTGTAAGGTCAGAAGGGACCTTGCAAGACCATTGGGTCCAGCCTCCTGCACCAAGCAGGAACGATAACTGGGGGTCAGGTAACCATCTTGTCTTCTCTTGAAGATTTCCAAGGTAAGTGATTGCACCACCTCTGGAGGGAGCTTATTCTACAGTCTGGCCACCCCCACTGTGAAGTTTTTCCTAATGCTGAGCCTGAATTGGTCTTCCAGGAGTTTGTGGCCATTACTCCTGGTTTTCCCCTTGGGTGCCCTGGTGAACAGCTGCTCACCAAGCCCTTGATATACTCCCCTAGTGTAGCGGTAAGCTGCTAGCAAGTCCCCTCTCAGCCTTCTTTTCTTCAAGCTGAAGAGTCCTAGATCCCTCAGCCTTTCCTCGTATGGCTTGCTGTGTAAGACGGATCATACAAGTGGTTCTTCTTTGCACTCTCTCAAGCTTGTCCATGTCTTGTTAAAGTATAGTGCCCAGAACTGGATGCAGTACTCCAGCTGCGGTCTCACCAGTGCCAAATACAGTGGAAGAATCACCTCCTTGATTTTGCTGGAAATGCAACGATTGATGCGTGCCAGAGTGCTGGTTGCCCTATTGGCTACAGCATTGCACTGCCAGTTTATATTCATACTGTGGTCTATTATTACCCCCAGGTCCCTTCCATCCATGCTGCAAATCAGTTTGGTGCTGCCAAGCCTGTAGGTGTGCTGGGGGTTGCTCATCCCAAGATGGAGCACTTTACATTTATTGACACTGAACTTCATCAGATTCCAATCCGCCCAATTTGCTAGTCTGTGTAGGTCTGCCTGCATCTGTAGCCCATCTTCAAGAGTGACCACATTTCTCCGTAACTTGGTGTTGTCCGTGAACTTGGCCAGTGAGCTCTTCACACCCACATCCAATCATTAATAAAGATGTTGAAAAGTACTGGAACAAGCACCAACCCCTGTGGGACACTGCTGCCCACTACTCACCAGGATGACACAGATCCATTCACTATGACTCTCTGGGTCCTATCCTGAGGACAGTTTCTCACCCACCTGACTGTCTTGGAGTTAAGCCCACAATCCTCCAATTTTCTCATGAGGACAT